TTTAATTGTAGCCTCTTTCGTAATTGCAAATTGTCTTAAATCTTTTTTGTTAAGTTTTCTAAAATAAAATGCCTTCCGACTTAGTTATAACACAGTAACAAGTGAGGTTACAAAAAATGTTCACTGTCTAAGGTCACTCTAGTTACCTACTATCTTGAAAGAAATAGATATAGGATAACAATATAATTGCACTTGTTTTAGTAATATTAATTCTTTTGAATTTAACACAACTATGAATTAAATTACTTTACTTTTTGGATTAGTATTTAAAAATTAATATTATTATATGAGTGCATGAGAGTGAAAACCTAGAAACTGATTATAGTAAATCATTAAATCAGGTTTTAGGTTTTCACTCTCACGCACTCATATTGATATCAATATACATATCTACTTCCAAGTTATATTATTTAAGAAATATGATGGTAACACTACAGATAAAATTGCAAATTCTACGCAGATTTCTTAAATTTCTAAAATTATATAAAGTTTTGTGATGATAAAACTGTATGTAATTTAAGTATAATTATGTAAATTCTGTGGTGTTATATGAAACACATAAAATCACTGGCCTGCCCAGTGGCACCGACAGATTTTCACTGATCGACACCGATTGACCAATTAGATTACAAGATCAGGTGTAACGTGAAATCAAAACCATAACTCAAAATTTCGCCTATGTAACCATCTTCTGCGCTTTAGTAAAAAATTTCCTTGCAAAATTTTAGTATAAGACATGTATCTTTATAATTATAAACCTGACCTTAATGTACCGTTTTATGGTTTTAAAAAATTGTCGATCAGTGAAAATCTGTTTGGTGCCACTGGGGTAGTTTAGTAAGTGACTGGACTTGTCAACTCGTGACTGGGTTTGTCAACTCAAATTAATTTCGTAGCTCAAATTGCTCGAATAAGATAATTAAAAATATCAAATAAAAAAGAAGATTTGAAGTCCAGCTTTGGTCTTTATCTTGAAGTTTATTTTGTAGGCACATCATTTGATGTACACTATTTATTTATGTTTGGTATGTGAGAAAAATAAAGCAAATATTTCTTATTCTTTTCTGAATTTTTATGTTACTCCTCTGGTACATACAATTTTAACTTCTTTTAAATCTTTAGAATTCTTACTATAAATTTTAAGAGTTTCACATTATCAAAGATTTCAGAGACATTTTTCACTTTCAATGACATGTCTTTTCATACTAAATAGCCCACTAGTATGTTTTCATTCCTCTTATCATTAAATATATTGGAAGATAAAACACTGCCATCTCCATAAGCCGTTCTTATTCTGTGAATCATGTTAAGTCTACCCATGCTTTTACACAGGGAGAAAGAATGTACAAGGTGTTATCGGGATTAACTGTACTATATTCTTTGGCCGTTCCTTGATGTTTCATCTCTATTTTTATAAAGATTCCATGAATATATAAACTATATAAATACTTGCAATTACGTATATCTTTATTAGGATATAAGGCACAATCCTTTGTTTCTAATTTTTAAGGATTAAAATATATGGCCCTTTTAAACCTAGCAGCCACAGTGAAGATTTGGGTGATATAGCATGGCTAACGCCATTGCCATAGCATACCCACTCATAGGATCGAATTTTTATTTTTTCTTACCATTCACTGGCATGCCATAGGATTAATGATCGACTTTATCTTTTTATTTCTACCTTACTTAATTTTAATACATTCTCCTTTAGGAAACACTTGAAACTAGTTCTTTACTTTCAAGATATTATAGTTTAGTTCTGGTTAAAAGCTAAAAATATTGTCAACCAAAATCTCGGCAGGGTAATAATCCTGACAAGCCTGGTCAGCATTAACAGTAGTTCTGGTCAATTTTTGTCGGGATTTTGTTAGTCAGTATTTTAGCCTGTAACCTTTAGTTCTACCTCTAAGTTCATTGATTAATTCTGATGACTTCGAGTTTTTGTGGTTACCATGCATCCTGTATGGGAATCCTGCTGAATAATTTAAATAGTGTTATCAAAATAGGTTTTAGTTATATATAACATCTGCTATTTCCTCTTGTTTACTTTATTCGATAGATCTAACTTTTAACAGAATCAAATAGCTTTTGGTGAAATTTTTAGCCATTGAAAATTTCTGTCATCTCAGCTGTTATAGCTTCTAGTCACTTATCAAAAGAATGTAAAGGAGCTACGATTCTTATTTGATATAATTCTTACATATTTGTAAATCTATTGTTAAGTTAAATATCTTAAATTCAATTCATTACATGTTTAAATTATCATTAAATTAAACGCGTCCGTAGCAGAGGTAATTAACCGAAAATAAAGAAAAAGTTGTGTGGTAAAAATCATTTATTTTCGTCAAAAAACCAATTTTTAGGTTTGTTTATAACGGTGATATGCATCATTCAGGTAAAAATTAAAAATCTAAGAGGTATTAATAAGAATAATACTATTCTGATTGATGTCTATTGATATCATTTTACATGTGCAATTTAATGGTTATTACTAATGATACGATAACAATAAGAAAATATAGGAACCAACAAAATTTCTCTGATTGATAAATCATATGGCATCAAAACAATCGACTAATGTATAAGATTTAATTAATAAAACATGTTGGAATTAGAACTAGGAACAACAGTGCATAACTTACGCCAAAATTCTGCAATGTTCTTTTTTTTTTGCTAAAGCGCAGGTGACTTCATAGACAAAACATTGGCTATTGATGGTTTTAAAATGTATAAACCTATATCAGATCATTTAATTTTCTCACTACGTATCATAAAATTAAATATATAGCTTCACATGCAACCTTTGCTAATTATTCCACTTCGACATTATTAAGTCTATAGGAGAATTTGTATCCTTTGTTCTGCTCTGCTCAGCTTTGCAAAATCATTATAAGAGCAAGAAAATGAATGGCTATATCCACATTTACTAAAAAAAACGGTTTGTAATGCATCAGCCAATTAAAAAAAAAAGGCAAATTTAGTAAAGGCTAGTTTCCAACATGAAAGTGTTCTTTAAGTATGTTATTTATAAATATATAATATACCTGCAATCAATACCGGTTCATTAATCCATTAAAACTAAACCGTTTACAATGAGAAAGATCGAATTTGTATAAGCGTAAAAAGAGATAGCGCTGATTATGGTATAGCGCCAATGGCTTTGAATTCGGGAGTTTTTTTTTTTTTTTTTACCATTGAATAAATAAAATGTATATATTACTAATCTGTTAGAAGCGAAACCGGAAAAGATCTGTTTTTAGCTAGTTGCCATAATAATTAATTTTTAGATCTGAACATCTACCAACCACAATACGCAGGGTCTTATTCAAGAACTTTATTTTTTAATTAAGCCTTACGAGTGGCAAACAACGATAATACCTGATTTCACCATATAAGGGAACTTCTTTATATCTATATTGTCGCCATCGAGGCTTTTTTTTCGATAATCATCTTTCACATAATAGTAACGATATAACTCGTTAATGCCAAGTTCAAAACTTCAAAAAAATATCAGTTCTCTATTATCTTTTGAAGGAAAAAAATTCAATGAATTAATTTACATCTCTGCTGACATTTGGAGTGATTATTAAAAGCGTAAATAATCTCAACGAACCTCACAAGATCCAGAGATCGTTAAGGGTTTGTGTCACTTCGGGTGTTTTAGGATTGGTTAAACCACAGACCTTTAACAATCTTGAGATCCTGTGATCAGAGGCTCAGAGACAGGCACTTGTTTGTAAAATCATTCGAAACCGACAGGTAGGTCAAAAGTTACTATTAAATATTATTACAAATATCGGAGTCGCTTCTAACAAAGGTTAGCGGAACATTCGATCCCGTTCGACCCAAACGCTTATACGAAAGATAATCTCAAAATATGATTTTATAAAATTTCGGATCATTAAAGTTATTTTGTTTGTTTCAGATCAGAAAAATTTAATATACAAGTTGGGTTGGGTCGAAATTAAAACAAAAAGATTGGTTTACCAGCCACGCAAGTCCCTATGTAATAACTTCGAAAGCTTCTTCCAAAGCTTCTTCCAAAGCTTCTTGTGCATTACTCATTCAGTTGTACGACCAGAAATTCATAGAAGTTCAATAATCGGAAAATAGAAGATTTGTTATTGAGTCTTAGGTAAACAAAAAGACCGGTTTGATCCAATAATTATTGTCGCACGTTTGTTTTCTCTGACTAAATGCTGGTGGTGAATGAAATAATTTTACCACTATTGGTAAGTTGGTGTTGAATTGAGTTAATCTCTAAAATATATAGCTTTAAGGAGTCGAATTAATAAGCGCATATATCGATATAATTAAGGTTGATATGCATAATGCATTAACGTTATATAGAAGATTATACATACCGATATGGCTGTCTAAATGAGAACTTGTAGTGCTAACGTCAATTGAAAAAAAAAAATCCAGATATTTGGATATTTGGGGTAAACAATTGTACAATATGTGCGCACAAGCAGTTGTTTGCATCCCCTGTCAATGGTTTTTTTTTTTTTTTTTTTTATTTATTTATTTATAAAATAAAAAAAAATTGAAAAATTTCTTTTCTTTTTTAATAATAATAAATTTTTTCGTGTCTTCTGTCTTTAAGTTTACGGTATGATTATTGATTTTTTTGTTTTTTGCTGACTTGCTTAAAACCACGAATTTGGGTATTATAATTATCAAATCTTGAAAAAATTTGTATTATAAATTTTATCTAGTTTATTGAATGCTAGAGCAGATATGAGTCAGAGTAGAATTTCGTTCATAGGGAGTGTTTCGTTGCTAGTGTCGTCTATGACAGGACCGGGGCTTGTTACAAGTATTTTATTCTTATTTTCATGACTAGACTTGAATTTGTCCATACGCGTTAATGCTCTGGCTCACGTTTAACATTTACAGTTCCACTACTTTTTCAGACTGCTGGATGGTTTATGTATGTTTCAGTCCTTCTATGAACGTATTTAAAGTTGTTTTTTTCCTATTGTATGACTTATCTATTTCACTTTTGGGATTTATTTTTATCAGACCACTTCTTGCTTTCATCATTGCGATTTTGTTAAGCGGTGCTGCTTCTCTGCTTTTGTGCGAATCATTGAGTGCTCAACCTGAAAACGAAAGATTCCAGGTTGATTTAATCTTGTTTCGATTTTATGCCGTGCTTAATAGTTTATTAACAAATAATTTTAATTAGAAAAAGATTGAATTTACTCGCCTTGCCTCAACGTTGATAACTAATAAATATCAACGTCGCTTTATTCAATTTGTTCTTTTTGTGACATTCGAATCCTTGATCATTTCATCAATTATAATATCTTCTCAAACAATGGATTCTTTGGCGATCTCGGTGTTTGGGAAAACTTGTGGAATTGGAATTTATCCAACAAAAGGAGTCTTTTGCGTGTCAGAACAAAGTGCCACAGGAAGTCCTTTCGGAGAAAGCTATATGCTTTTAACTGTCGGTTACTTTGTTAGTATTGTGGGGGGTTTTTTTTTATCTTGTTCGTTTTATACATTCAAATTAATTCTTATTAATATACCTTAGATTACTTTGGTAACTGTCGTTCCTCTAGGAGTTATGGATCTTGTTGATAATATTAAGGTGCAAGTTGGTGCGTCATGACTCTGCTATAAAAATTATTATGATTATTATTTACACGATGATATATTTTTATTTTTGATTTTTTTTTATTATCAGTTTCTTTCGCTATATTAATCTTTATAATAGTCACTTGGATTATCACTTTCATTGTTCATGGACTTCAACAAGACCTTGTTCCATTTATTGGTAATGATCAAAGCCAAGTAGTTGGAACTGTCTTATACAATTACGCGTTCATAACTACTATACCAAGTTGGGTTAATGATACGGTTCGTAACTTATTTACATCACTCCGTTTTTTTGATTATAATTAGTAACTATTAATATTTATTTAATATATAGGATCAAAATGTTTCAATCCGAAAATCTGTATTGTACTCTATTATTATATCCACGATTTCATACATTTTACTGGGTGTTTTGGGAGGGATGGCATACACGATGAGCGCAGCATCAAACATTATTGCAGTGATTAACAAATCTAATGAACGTACGGTGATTAGTCTTGTTACAACATACTTGTTTCCTGTAGCTGCGTTGATAACAAGTGTTCCAGTATATACGATTATTGTGCGTCTCAATTTGATGAATCATAATAACTTCAGTAAAAGTATGTTCGTAATTTAATATATTTATACATCTTGTTTAAAAAAAATATTATGAATTATTAATGTTTATTATTAACCTCTTACATTTGATTAATTTGATCTCAGGAACTTCCATATTATTATCCAGCGTGTTGCCTTGGATTATTATCCTTCCATTCCAAACAGGATTTTGGCTCAATTCGTTTATGAATTGGACGAGTCTAATATTTTCAACTATCAGCAATTTTATTCTACCATTTTGGCTATATTATTTGAGTGAGACTCAAAAAACTGTTAAAAATGATGCCGATTTGGTTAAATCAGGTATATGAGATTTAAAAAATTTTATCTATGATGTCTACCATTCTCAATTTAAACATTTCAATTTAACGTTCGTCTCCATTTCAGTAATATCAACTCCAGAAAAGCTCCGACGAAATCCATCATCAATGTCTGATATCTCAATAAAAAGTGTATTGATGATTGATGAACATCCACCGTTTCCAATTGTTGTCAGTCCACCATCTCCGGGTCTTCGACCACTCGATAATCATAGTCATGATAGCATTCATCTTACTCCACATCCGTCAAGTACTCCAAGGCGTAGACGTTCTCGCTCACCAAGTAGATCACGTAGTCTTTCAAGAAGTAGTTCTAAAATTGGCGTTGACAGCATCGAAGTACATCAAGTGCATTCGCCTGATAAGCATATTGATGTTATTATAATAAATACGGATGCATTATCTAATAATCCAAAATTAGCTGATTCGCCAACATTTTTAAGTGTGCCATCACCTCATTCTGAAGTTGAAAATCGTGACCGCGATTTGTCATGTTCACCACCAGGTCACATGACATCGGTGGCAACTGAATCTGATGCTAAAGGGTATCATTTATCGGCTCCACTATCTCTCGTAGCTCGTACCACCTTTAGCCGTCGAAAATCCACATCTCGACTAACGATCGTGACAACACCAGCAATTACGATTAGTGATGAATCATGCGATAACGATGTAAATGATAATTTGCAAAACAATTTATCAATTCATTCCTGCCATTCTAGTGTAACATGCCCGCCATCACCTCTATCTATATATGAAGAAAAAATGAGTTCAATTTTTAACGAAGCAGAACATGCTAGGTACTTTGAACCGTTTAAAGCTTTCCCAGGATTAACATCAACGCATGGGATTTTGATTGCGAAATTTGGAGGGACAATGGCTATTTTAATGGCTTTTGGAATCCTTACATATGATTTTGTACAATTAGGAATGGGAACTAATGTATTTGCTAACTAATGTAATTACTAATGTAGTTTTAGTTGAATGTATTTTAGATTTTGTTGTTGTATAGAAAAAAGGTGTTGTTTTAGTAATTGATGTATATATATATACATATATATACATATGTATCATATATATTCAAAAAGTATTTTAAAATAAGGGTACATAAAACTAATTTTTGTATTCATAATCCAACAAAGTCAACTTTGAAACAAAATTCTTTATTACCAAAAAATAAATAAATTGATTTAGTGAAATTCACCAATGTTTTTTTTTTACTTTAGAATTAAAATTTAGGTTAAAGTTAGAAGATATTATACGTACAAGTACGGACAGTACGTATGTGCTAGTTTTTGGAATAGATTAGTCGCACAACAAAAATCTAACAGATCAACCAAATTTCATGGTCGAAATAGGCCAGAATTTACAAAATTTTGTTATTAATAAATCTAGCATCACAACCCTAAAAAATTTCGCCGACCGTGATCTTATTAACGTTAAACAAATTGATTCACAATTAGTTTAGGGTTATGGTACCACCAGTAAGTTAGTATTTGGTTTAAAGGGCTATAGTTATAGTAAAATTTCCCGAGGAAAATTTTTTGTTAGTACGCAGAAGGAACTTTCATAGGCAAAATTTTAAGCTATAAGCGTTTTTTTGTTGGCTTGATTTTTTTGCGTTACACGTGATCTTGAAATCTGCGAAATTAATTAGGGTGGTGATTTAACCCCCTAACGCTAAGTTGCCCTGAGTCGGACTCATGAACGGATGGTCCGGAATTACCTACCGTACAGCGTGGACTAAAAGACCCTCCTTTTATAATACCCCTCACGATTTTTGAAGGCCTAGAATGTAAAGTACCCCGGGAACTAAGGAATGATTAGTTGCATTTTGGAATGTAAAATACCCGGGTACTAAAGATGGATTAATTGCACTTAGTATATAAAATATTACTGCAGCACTCATATAGCACAATTTATACCCCTACGCTGACCATAGTATCCCTCCGACTATAATACCCATATATACAACTTAAATTGTAAAGTACCCCGGATATTTTAGTCCACGCTGTGTGATAATTTTGGCCCAGAAATGGTTGACTTGTATTGTTAAATGCCGGCCTAAACTTGATGAATCCGACCCGGAAATATTGGATCCTCCTGTAAAAATTCGTATTATTCGTATTATTCGTTGACATCCGGAGCGTAGCGAGGACTTAATGGTAGGACTACCCCAGTGGTACCGACAGATTTTCACTGATCAACAATTTTTTTAAAGTCATAAAACTGTATATTAGTGCCAAGTTTATAATTATAACGATACTTACTTTATACTAAAATTTTGCATGGAGTTTTTTTTACTAACGCGCAGAAGATGGTTAAATAGGCAAAATTTTAAGTTACGGCGGTTTTTTTAAAAAATGGTAGTTTTTGTTTGATTTCACGTTACACCTGATCTGTAATCTAATTGGTCAATCGCTGTCGATCAGTGAAAATCTGTCGGTGCCACTGGAATACTTTTAATGGTAGAGTCATAGATTTTGTGTGTGTACCTATTTTAGATTAGATGATTTAACGATAACGGTAACGGTAAGTATGTTGTGCATCTACGCCTGACTGCCTAAAATTACTAACGCGTGCAAGGAAGATCTAATTTCAGGGGTTAATGTTAGTGTGCCTAAATTGGTAACTTCAAGCGTCAAACGTCAACAAGCATGACAAGTATGTGCATGATCGACATTATACTATATATACCAATTTTTTTCTTTTTTTTCGCCCATTGTTTTATTCGTCGTACCACCCACTTCTATATAGGTTCGGAAAGTTAGGCTGTTTCGGTAGTTCCGGTCTAACCGGATGAATTACTGATCAGTCGTCCTATGTGGTCATACTTTTAACTTCTCGTTATTGTTATACTGCGAAGATTGATGTATTTATCTTGCTATGTATTTTGATTTTTTTCAAGTTTAGATATTTGCTATGTACTTTATCTTATTATTTTTGTTACAGTATCAGGTATATGATTATTTTTTTTTGTTTGTTTTGATCAAAACCAACGATTCTTGAAAAATTCATAGTGCAATTTAATTGCTATAGTGCCTATTGTGTATAAAAGAAAAAGGCAATAATAACTAGACTTTCTTGTATATTTTGAGGGTCATTTATTTTAGTAAGATGACTCGCAACTTTATTGATAACTTGGTACATCATCAATATCATATTTTATTATTTTGATCTTTTTTTAAAAAAAGATCAGAAAATAAATGAATTAAAAAAAATCATTAAATATATTGTTAAGATTGATGTTTCTTAATTCCTTTTTCTAGAAGTTTGGTTTTTTCTTTTAAATCCCTGATTTTAGACTTCTTTGTGTCACATGATGCAAACCTTCTCGTGGTGTGACCTGAACATCAAGTGATTTTCGTTGATGACTGATATGTATCACTATTACTAACAATGTTATTTAGTATTTTCATTTCATAAAAAATAAGGTTACATATGTTGTGAAGCTTATATCAAAAAAGTTATGCTATTGTCATCATCCAAGTAACTTTTATACGGTTATGATTTCTACCCACTCACACATTATTAAAATTCAACCCAGATCACTCACTCACGGGTAACCTCGATGAGACCCATCGGGTCCAATTACTAAAATGTATTTTAGTATTTAATCAACAGAAAGTAAGGCACCAATAATATAATGCTAAAGAATCATGTGATAACATCACTTCGAGTTATAATTCTTTTAAAGCAAATGGATAAGAATTATACCAAGAAAGGTAGTAAAATGAACTTATTTCATGTAATTAATCATTTAGATTTACTTTAGAAAAAAGATAAAACATTAGAAAAGTTCTTTGACAGTCTTTTCTTTATATATAAATACGAAAAATGATGTATAGTAAAACAGGAGGAACACTTAATGTTACACAAAGTGAGTGATTATATCCATTACATATAAATAATTTCGGTTTAACTGATCACCCCGTGTGAACGACGGGCGAGGGATTATATCCATAACATACATTTTAGAGTAAACTCAAATAAATAATTTTATTATTGATTGACTACATCGTGTGAAGGATTAATATATAACATTGATGTTTGTATAGTACCATATTGAAATTAATTATTGAAATTTTTTTAAAATTTACGTAGTGATCAGAATAGTGATTAAAACTGAGCAGATTTTATCACTTTTTATATATATTTTAATTATAGTAAAAGAATGACTTGCTTACCTTAGCTGTCTAGAGCGAATCGCTTTACTCTTTAAATTTATTTTAGCATATATATATTCTCAACCATGTTTATAGCAATACTACGTTAAAAAATTTCATGTTTTTTAGTATTAAATATTTACCTGCATCTCTCCTTTGAATAGTATATTATATGCAAGAGAATTTTTGTAAAGAGTCGACTTTCAACATAACTTTGTTATAATCGTGTTTAAAAATAGATTGTCTAAAATAATAAAGCGATTCGCTCTAGACATCTAAAAACATGCAACTCTTTCTTTGAATCTGCTCACCGTCTTAATCACTATTCAAATCACCAAATTTTTAATCATTGATTTTCATATGGTACTACATATAGTTTGGATTTACATAGTTAACTGAACACCTAATGTATCAGGCAATGAAAATTAAGGGCATATCCGTTGATCGTTATGTGAATAGTCAAATAACGTAGATAAAACATGTAACAAATTTTTTAACTGTTAAATTATGAAATTACAGATTTTTAATCCACTAAATTCTTCATATTCCAAACTAAAATATAGTTTCTTAATTCTATCTAATTTGTGTTTAACTCTGTTCTGAAATTATGTTAACTACTGGTACAATGTCAAATGAACATAGTTAAGATCGTATATAATCAATTTTTTATAACCTGAAATTTTCTGAAATTGAATAATAAAAATGTATGAACTTCAAATCCTATCACCTTTTAATCGGTATTATCGTTATAACATACCGTAGAATTTGGAAATGATCTTAACATTAAATTTGTTGGGCCATTATTGAGAAATATCCAATCGAAGTTTAAAAAATATTTAATATCAGAAATTTGCTGTATACATAAAGATTCGAAGAACTGTATCTTCATTCACATGGTTGTTAATCTACATTATAAACAACCATTCAAAATTCAAAATTCCAAAAATTTATTTAAATGATTTCTGAAAAACAGAAATTTATAATTGTTAAAAAAATACATTAGCTTAAAAAACAAATAAATAAAATAATACAAACTCTTGCAATATAATCCTCAATATTGTACGCAATATCATCAAGTCTTATAATAACTTCAGAATCTTTTGATCCAATCCCAATAACAGGATAATATAAATTTGAGGTGAAAATTTTAAAATTTTTTCTGAATGACCCAATATTTAACCCCAAATTTGCGAACTTTATTTCTAGCAGAAATAAATTTAATTTTAAGCAAATCTACAATGATAATAACAGTTTATTATAGAAATTATTAGAATAACACATACTTAGTTTTTTACCATTTTTTGTAAGCAAATGTTTATTTTTAACAAAATTATATCCATATCCAACAATATCTCCTGTTGTAAATTCTTCTAAAGTATCGACCTTTTGTCCATTATAATAAAAGCTTCCACATCCATAATATCCTGAAGAATGGTCACATTTACCTTTAATCAATGGTGTCAAACATAATATGAGTTACCCGTACATAAATTAATAATAAACAATAATAAAAAAGTTGGATAAATAAATACCGGGCATTTCATTTATATAAGCAGCATCTTTACACATCCCAATACCTATTTTACTAAAAATTTAAAAATGCATAATGCAGAAAATTTATATAAATTAATCGCTACAAACTAAAATTATTTAATCTTGAATTTTTTATGAAAAGAAATTAAATTAAAGAATTAAATTATCTATTCCACAATAGCTTACGTGCAGTCACTACTATGAACAATCACAGTTTCATAATAAAATAATTTAATTTTTGCAGGAATAGGTACATCCGCACTAGCAGTACCAGCCTCTTCACCTTATAATTTATTTGACTGAATTAGTATATTTTAATCAGATTATTTGCATATGCAGATAATTAAAAGTTATTCATATAAAGACCTATATTTTCGACTTTTAATCCATCATCCGAAATTCTCAAATGTTTGTTGTAATTGATAAATTTTGAAGGTAGTTTTTTGATATATTCCCGCCACCCAGTTCCATGAATGATTTTAATATAATTAGGTACATCTAACTATAAAAAAGTAAGAATAATAAACTCGTAAATATAATTAAAAAGATTTAATTAAATATTTATATACCACTTTCAGCTCTAACAATTTAGATCTCATGTTTGTAATGTCTTCACATTTTGGAAATTCAAAATTAAAATCAAGCTTAGATTTATAAATGTAAGCTATAAGGTTAGCTTTATAAGTTTCTGATTTTTCATAAAGATCTTTAAAATCTGCAAGATTGTTACTATCACTTTCTAAACGATCAATGTAATCATTTTTCGTTTTTTCTATCATAATTGATAGTTGGTTATATTCGTAAATAAGCTTTACTGCTACCTGTTAATTATAATAAAGAGGCATTAAATGTATATAGATCATTGAGACAGGTTAAAATGAAATAATAAAAAAATACTTGCTGTAACATTTTTTAATAATGTACTATCATATTTTAAATATTTAAGACCTAATTGGTTAAATTCTGGCATTTCTTCATAATAGGTAACATCAACATATATGACTGCAGGATTTAACAAAACCGAATCCTTAAATTTTATAGCTTCTTTGAATATTGTTACAAAATTCAAATATTTTATCTGTAAATTTTTCAAATCGAGATAAAAAAAATTAATAAAATGTAGATTTTGCACAATATAAAATATGATGTTTATTAAAAAAAAAAAAAGACTACTTCTATATTTTCACCACCAATATGGTTGAAATATGTATAATATTCGCAATGATCAAATATCTCTTGCAAATGTTCAATATTCTATTAATGTACAAAAGTATGTTATTATTTATTAAAATATAAAGAACATAATTACCTTAAATACTTAACTGTTTTATCCTCCCCGGAAAGAATGTTATTCATAGTTTTAATGCTTTCTTTTATTTTTTCTAATTTAGCCCCCTTAGTACTTTTGACAATTAATAGTCCATGAAACACTATTTAAAAATTTTATTGCAAAAAAAATTAACAAAAAATTATTCTATAAGTTTTAATGATCAACAATTTGATAAAACCTACCCCCTCCCTTATGGATTCCGGAAATAAATCCATTACCGTACTTTTTTATAAAATCTGCAGAATTATTACATTGCTTTGCAAAGCTTAATAATTCCGAGGTTCTTAACATACAAATAATGTAATTAACATAATTGTGGATAATGAATGAACTTGCAAGAACCAATAAATTCTTACAAAGCTTTATTATTTCCAGAAAAATTTGTTTCATTATCTTTCACTTCCACTTCAGTACATAAAGCAACGATGGTTGAAGCTTCTACTACCTACGAAGTAAATTGTGATGTTTATGAAGTGTAAAGTTTATTATATTAAAGACAAATTGACATATATACTTACATCTTGAAACCTAATTGATCTGGAGCCTCCAATAAAATTGAATTTTAACTCAGTAAAATCTAAAGCCGAAAGCTTGAAACCTTCCAAATTTTTAATGCCAAAGAATTCACAAAACTCTGTAATATTTTCGATATATCTTATAAAAGTATTTGATTTAATTATTGTTACATTGCTTTTAGTAGTAGCAAAATCCAGTTCGTTGGCTAGAATAAGAAAATAATAATGAATCTTGTAAAACAAAATATAATCATGAAAAGTTAAATATACTTACACCATTCGACTGCTTTAGACATCTTACACTCTCCGGAATAGGTATTAAACCCTCTTCCGAGCGTTGCATTGCCACTATAACTCACTTTAAATATCATTGGTATTAGCGAATCTCTAAAACTTATGTTATAATAAAGAATTAGCAGCGTATTCGCATACGTGCGTAGTAATTACAAAAGGAATTCTAGATAGCTAAATTTGTACGTATTATTATTACGTATCTTTATTATTTTCATCGAATACGGTTATAGTAATTCCTTGGTATTAAGATCGATTTATTAGGACTGATACACTTAAATCTTTGCATTACACAATGCATCTAAGAAATCTTTACTCAAAGTGTTGATATTAATTGTAGCCTAAAAAAATAATAAATAAATACTAAATTATCGTTTTCTAGCATAAACTTGAAAATAAAGACTTCAATTATCATGTATAAAATAAGATACAATGGTGATGCGGAGCTTGGAAAGAGTTTTAATACCTTTGAAGGAAAATGCATGATGTCCAAAGCAGCAAAATGTACGTTTAAGAATATCTTTACTATACTATCTAATTGTATTATGCAAACTTTCTAAAATGGATAAAATTTTGAGGTTTAATTCTCAACGAAGGATTGATTATTATGGACGTAATTAATATTCCACAAAATCAAAATCAAATTTTGAATTTGAATCAAATATTTGAAAATTTTGATTTTGCGGAGTACTAGCCGTAATGCTAACCATAACTATTAAACTGCAGACTGATTATATCGATTCTCCTTAAACATTTTTATATTCTCCCTCCCTATTATACAGTGGCTGGTGATATTGATTTTTCAAAAATTAAAGGAGACACAAAACTAACTAGTTTATCTACTACTGCAAAATATATCAAAAATGTTAATGAATTTTGTGAGGTTTTCGGTATTAAATTTAAATGTGGTTTTAATTTGGATTCTTTGGATCTTTCGGGTTTGAACTTCAATCTTTCAGGAAGTTCCGTTAGTTTCCGAAATGTTAGTACACTTTAACAATAATAATTATTTCAATACAAGTCAAAAATGGTTTCAACAACACATATAATCCAGTAATAAGATAAATACTTTATAAAATTATAGATTACATCAGCTTCGATTATGATTGCCATATGCGCTGAAGTGGAAGTAGAGGACAATGAAACTGCTTGCAGAAACAATTTAAACCTGTGAGAATTTATTGATGCATTAAAATTTAGTTGATATTGAATTTTCTTAATTTCATTGTTTGCATTTAGGACCTCAGACTTATTAAACTTTGCAAAGCAATGCAAGAATCCGATAGATTTCACTAAAATGTATGGCAATGGATTCATCTCCAGAGTCTATAAGGGTGGCAGTGAGTTATTTATTTACCAAATTCGATGAATTTTGACTGTGAATTTCGTGTTATTTATTTTTTTATAATATAAATTTGAATAGTATTTCGTGGACTAGTAGTATTTAGAAACACTAGCATAAATCAAACGAGTGATATAAAAAGTAAGATCGGATTAATGAATCAATTTCTTTCTGGTATGAGCGAGGCAGTTAAGTATTTAATCACATTTACGTTATTTTATACATTTTATTCATAATATTATACTTAATTCAATAAATTTTTTAACTCTTTTAAGGAATTAGAAAGCTCAATCAAAGATCTATTTAGTACCACTGAGTGGGACGTGCATTTAAGCGTCATTGGTGGTGATTTAGAGTTTGACGTGAGTTACTTAATAATTTAATAATTTTATTTATTTGCTGTATGCCCATATTTAATGTAAATATCGATATGTTCCAAATTCAGCTTAATAGATTAGATTTGATAACATTACTTAAAAAAGCCATGGAATTTAAAAGAGAAGTTTTGAAAAACCCAGTAAAAACATATGTTGATGTTATTCCCTACGAAGAAATGCCAGAATTTATGGGATTAGATAATAAAGTTTTAAAATATGATATAGACTTAATTACGAATGCTATGGTAATATTTAAAAAATATTTTTAGACAATTTTAATAGCTTTAATATATATTTTTTAACTTTATTTCTTCACAATTAATAGAAAGCGATAAACCTTATCTGTGAATATAGTCAATTATCAAATGATATCGAGGAAGCAAATTACTATATTGAAAGTAGAGTTTACCCTCAGTTTAAAGAGTTCGAAAAAAATGTGGAAAATGAAAAAAAAGAGCTCATAAAATTTATTCAAGGCGCAAAATTTGATCCAAATATTAAATTTCCAGATCATGATGTCAGAATGATGCGATCGAGATTGAAAGAATTAATAGAAGTATTTATTTTATACATAATTGTTTTTTTCATTATGTCTAAAGATTTATAATGTATTAATTATCATTTTTAAATAGACTAGTGTGCCTAATTATATAACAATTATCCACGGGTCTAACTGGCATAAGTTTTGTAAAAAATTACCCTCTAAATTAGATATAAATAGACATGGCAGTTTGAAGTCAGATAATTATGAATTGAAAGTTAAAAATTCAGGTATCTATGCCAAGTATTTACAAAATTTCAAACTTTGAGCGAAAATACCCCAATAACTATTTATTTAAAATCAATACAATTTTTTTTTATTTAATTCTATGAATCAATTAAAAAAAAAGCCATTGATTTTATTTAAATAGTTATTGAGATATTTGATAAGGGAACTGACAAATATTACCTAATTACCCCCCCTGGGAATTCTCGTTAGATCACCCAAAATTTCGCAATGCCGTAATTGAGCTCAGCTAATTTGGTCGATCAAATAAGTTCCCTGGGGGGCTATAATTAGCTAATATTTGTCAGCTCCCTAATCACCTAAATTTTTTTTTGAACTTTGAGTGCTGATATCTAGGTAACTACCTACTTAAATCGACAATTTTTTATTTTAATTCTATGTATTCATAGAATTAAAATAAAAAAAAGTTTATCAAGTTTAAGTAAGCAGCTACTGAGATATAATCGCTCAAAGTTCACAAAAATTTAGCCAATTATCAAAACAGACCGCGGCTAAGTTTTTTTCAAATTTTGAGTGATGATATCTCAATAAATACCTACCTGAAATCGATGATCGTTTTTTTATTTAATTTTATTGATTCATAGAATTAAAATAAAAAAATTGTTGATTTTAAATAAGTAGTTTTTTAGATTTTTTCGCTCAAAATCTGAAAATTTTTATCACGGCAAGAGAACAGACAATCGTTACATGATCAATAACATGCATAACCTAGCACATGCTAATACATTAGTATAATTAAATTTTATCCTCTTTTATTATATAAACTAGAAAGTAATACCTGCTCTATTATAGCAAATAAACCTATCCATTCATCAACTAAATTATTTTACTACGAAATATTTATTAATTCGAGTAATGACTGCAGGTGAGTTGACTTTTTGGTGAATGACCAAGGATAAAAGAAATTTATTATTTGAGGCTTGTAGTATTTATATAATTTTAGCGTGCTCGGTATTATGATTGTTTATGTAAACTGACATATCTGATATTATGAAATATTTAGTCACATAGGCATTGGTATGAGTAAAGAATACGTTGGTGCTGATAAAATGCCTGGTAATTTTTTGACCGACAATTGAAATTATATTGCGATTGCGATTAACGTTTCTAATTATATCGAAGGTAGGTGTGTCCATTCTTTTGGATATTATGGTTGTGGAAGTTTATATCACCGAGGATGGAAAATTGGATCTTTGGTCAGATTCAAAGCTGGGGATACTATTGGATTCGGATATAATTTTAGCAGTAGCAAATATTTCATTACAAGAAATGGTGAAAAGCTTAGTATGTATTATATAAGCACCTTTATTAATGTCTCATTCTTGAATTACTTCAATAACATTTTAAAACTTTTTTTTCCTGTCAGAAATAACCTTAAATTTAGGGCTTTTTACGATAAAACCATCATCTTTTCCGAAATTTCAGTGTAGCTTTGATATGAATTCGTATTACCCCTCCATTGGACTCGGTCCAGAGGATGAAATCAGTGTGAATTTCGGTAACAAAGAATTTAAATATAATATTAATGATTATATAGCTAAAGTTTGTATTATTTATCTTCAATATTTATATAACACTTTCCAATTTAAATTTACTAATTTAACTTAAATGTTCACTTGTAGCGAGTATTTAAGTCCATCCTAACTTACTAGTGATACAGTAGAAACTCAAGGCATTGAGATATGTCGTATCGTAACTAAGTATTTTAAGTTACGGCATATCGTAACGTGCGTATGTGTCGTGTTGTTTATATTATACCATAACTATTTTATGTGATATAACTTTATATAGGCAATATCGTCACTTCTGATACATCATATTTTATAAAATAAATTAAAAAGCTTATTAATATAATATTAAATCTAATGATTGTTATTTTAAACTATATTTTTAGGATTATATATATTATAATATTAAGGTTTAAAAATAAATTTATCATATTTTAATTAAATATTTTTTCTTATCAATTTACAAATTTATAAAATATATTTAAATTATATAGTTTTTAATTTTTATTTTTTTTATTATACAAATTATATTTTGTCTATTAAATAAATATGTTCTTTTATGATGAAATTTGAAAATTAATCTGTATAATGTTAACTGTCTCTTGTTGATCAGTTGGTCTTATGCAGTTGTAACTTAGATATACCAAGTTGAGTTTAACCTATTATTGAAAGTTTGAAGTATTTATACACAGGTCAAATAAAGAAATATCAGTGTCATATTGGTATTTTTTAAACCTGATATTAGATTAATATTAGTTGAAATTTGGTTAAAATTGGAAACCTATAGAATAAAAATCAGTGTTATATCAGCTTTAAGCAATATCAGTAAGTTGATAGCTTTATAGATAAATCAATAGTATTATTAATCAATTGATTAATAACTATTAATCAATTGATTAATAGTATTATTGATTTATCTATAGAGCTATCAGTTTACTGATATTGCTTAAAGTTGATATAACATTAATTTTTATTCTATAGGTTTCCAATTTTAGCCAAATTTTAACTAATATCAGTTTAATATCAGGTCTAAAAAAATGTCAATATGGTATTAATATTTTTTTATTCAATCTGTATTATATAAAATATAATATTACATATATATAAAAAAATATTAATAATTAGTATTGTTTAAAATTTTGATATAAACTTATAATAAGAGTATTGAACATAAAAGGCTAAAAAATCAAAAAATCAAAAATTCACTTCAAAATTTTTGAGTAAAGAGATAACATAATTTTTGACAGTATTATTAAATTGATAAAAACTTATAATATAGGTTGAATAAAGAAATATTAGTATTATATTAGTATTTTTAGACTCAATATTAAATTGATATTAGTTGAAATTTGGCTAGAATTAGGAACCTATAGAATAAAAATCAGTGTTATATTAGTTTTAAGCAATATTAGTAAGCTGATAGCTCTATAGATAAATTGATAATGCTATTGACTAATTGATTAATAGATTAATAATATTATTAATTTATTTATAAAGCTATTAGTATACTAATATTGCTTAAAGCTAATATAATATTAATTTTTAATCTATAAATTTCTAATTCTAGCAAAATTTTAACTAATATTGGTCTAATATCAGGTTTAAAAAAATGCTAATATGATACTGATAATTCTTTATTTGCCCTATATAAGTACTTCTAAAGTTATTAATAAGATAAACTGAATAACAAAAATATATAAAGAATTTATCTTCAAAGTTGTCAATAAGATAAACTAAATAACAAAAATATATAGAAAATTATATAATCAATTAGGTTATTAAATTTGTTAAAAAAAAAGAATACAAAAATATACTATACTAGATTATCTGAATTGGTAGTTTAGAAAGTCAAGAACAACTTAAAAAAAACTTAATAATAAAAAATAAAAAAATTAAGTATCAGAATTTTAGTAAACTTTATAAAAATAGAAATAGTATAATATAGTAATTAAATAGATAATTCTTATAATTATAAGTGTTAGTTAACTATAATATTGCATAAAACTAAATTAGCTATATATAAAATATAATAAGCTCTAGTAAGTTTTCTGTTAAAAATAAAGTAGTCTTAAGAGTACTAATAAAAATCAAAAATTGTATTTTTATAAGACAAAATAGATTACATATGCAATAAGTTTAAATAAGCAAAACTCATAATTAGTTTGCAAGTATACTATTTAATATAAAACTTATATAGTAATCAGTGTTGTTATATTTACTATATTTGTTCTATTGGCTTCTAATTCTATTCATTTTTTTCATTTTTCTATTGTAAATTTTTACTATTAAATTTTACTAATTAAATATAAAAATTTTTTAAATTTATTATTTTACTAATAGTCTAACAATATATATTTAAATAATTGCAATTTATTAATAAAAAAAAATTTTTTTATATAAATGCAAAAAATTAAGCTTTTGTTCTATTGTTCTATTTGCCAACACTGATAGTAATATATAAGCAAACTACTTAAATTAGACATCAAAAGTATATATGTAATTAGCTATAACCTCTTATATCAAGAAGTTCTTAAAACCATCTATATTTTATAAACTTAAATAAAAATTTTTTTTCAAAAACAAAGATTTTAATACAAAAAATAAAATAAAATAAATATATTTTTTATATTATTTTATATACAATATAAGTTTTTTTTAAAAAGTATAATAACTTAGTAAAATAGATAGATTGTCAATCTTTAAGTTGCAGATTTAAAATTTAATTCTTACAGATAATAAATTTTAGAAATTATATTTATAATAACTGTCTTTATTTAATTAGTTAAATTTAAGTATCTGTAATTCTAAATAAATTAAGTTAGATTTTACTTAATATTGAAAGCTTGAAACATCTATGTAAAGTGTAATATTACATATATATAAAGAAATATAAAAAAACTAGTATTATATAAGACTTTGATACAAACTTACAATAAGACCACCAGATGTAAAAAATTAAAAAATTAAAAGATAAAAGTCTATTTGAAAATTTTAAATAAAAAAGTAATATGAACTTTTAATGATATTGTTAAACTAATAAAAGTCTATAAAATACTCCCAAAAGAATTGTTAAATAAACTCAAAACTTACTAATAATGAAATTCTAATTTTTATCTGTGTTATAGCAATTGTTTTTAATAATCAAATTAAAATAGCTGTAATTATGATCATTATAGTATAACTGATAAGTTATAAAGCATTTATATAACTAGTTATATAAAGAAATGCAAACTGGCATTAGGTAATACAAACTTAAAATAAATTTTTGTAACTGTATAAATCTATAAAAATTAGCAAACAAGAAGCCTATTTAGGAAGATCTAAGCAAAGAAGTAGTATAAATCTTTAACAGTACTATTATAAAAACTAGACTTATAAAACAAATACTAATATAATAAAACCAAATAAACAAAAATCTTCAATAAAAGATATTACTAACCAAACTACAGAATCAAACTAAATAAAAAAATATCAAATTGATTTAATATATTATAGTTCTATTAAATTATCTAAGATAGAAGTCTAAAAATAAACACAAAATATACTAAAGCTTTTTAAATAAGTTATAAAGTAATATGGAGTGTTCCTAATTAAAACAGCCTAGATTTACATATATCTCATTTTGAGATAATTGAGTTTAATCATTTGTTTTGATTTTTGAACTGATCTGAATTAACCAAATTTCATAATTTTGATTAGTTAAAAGTAACAGGCAACTATCAGGTAATCTCGTGATATGCTTGGCTTTATGTAATTTTTTTTCTATATTCTTCTACATTATCTCTATTTTTCATTATGCAAATCAACTTTCATTTATAATTGAAAAATGTAAATCATATCAAAATATACATGAATTTGATAAAAACTCATTTTTTAAAAAATGTAAATCTGGGCTGTTTTAATTGGGGACACCCCATATTAGAGTTTAAGTTAACTCTGCAAGAACATAGCTCTGTTAAAGTTTGTAAAATAAATAAACAAATTAACAGAAAGGCTCTTTAAGCCTTACTGACAGATAACAGATTCTAAAATATGTTACAGTCTAGATAATAATATAAAAAAAAAATAAAGTTAAACCTAAATAATTTTTAATATAAGTCAGTACAAAATTACTTACCTTAGAGTAAAATAGTTATTTAGTACTAATTAAATAAGTCAAAGAGTTTAAATAAGACACCTACAAGTAGAAATTATATATAAAAGAAAGTAAATAATTTTAAGATAGAACTTTTAAATAAACAATGCTAAAGTTATATAAATAACTAGTTGTAATTTTATAAATTATAAATGTACTTAAAATATTACTAACTAATAAAAATTGTCAGTTTAACTAAGTAATTAATTATTTATTAAAAAAAAAAGTTTAACTAAAAAAAATTGAAAATAAAATTGCTATAAAGAAAATTAAAAATATAAAAAACAATAAATTTTTTTTTTATATATATGTACAAACTTTTTCTAACAATCATCTAAACTAAACTTTCTAAAAAACTGAACTACAAAAAATGTTATAATAATATATTAAACTTTATGAAACTTTTTTAAAGTACTAGATATGCATAATGAACATTAAAATAAAGTTAAAAAAAAATATCACTTTATGATAATAGTTTAAAAGCACTCTAAAACTATAAAAAAAATAGTTAATAAAAGCTAAAAGTTTCTTATAAAAAAAAAACAAAGTTGAATATATTATTTCTATACAACTGTAAACCTACAAGAAACTCTCAAAAGAGTTAAGTACTCACAAAAGCTAAAGTTTAGTTTACCTTACATCTTCTTTTTCTCTTAAAAAAATTTTGTAAAAAGTAGATGATTCAGTATACCTATTTCAAAAAATCAATACATAAAAATACCAAAACAGTTAGCAATATTTATTTTTTAATTAGAATTTTATAAACAATACAACAATACAAATATAATTTATACATATGACTTGAACTACTGAAATCTTATAAAATACTGCTTCTGAACTAATTAGTGACTTATACTAACTTTTTATTCTATACAGTTTTTATTAAATATTTTAAATAAATAGAAAAATAGTAGAGTTAATTTTATTTAGTATAGTTTATAATTTTTAAAAACCCAATACAGGTTTATAATTATAACCATATGATAGTTATGTAACAAAAGTTATATATATTATTTTTTTTACTTTTTTTCTTTCTTCTTTTATTTTTTGTATTGTATCTTTTATTGTTTATCATTATACCTTTGTGTTATTTTTTTTATATAAAAATTTTTTTATTTTCTTACTTTCTTGAAAAAAGATTTATTAGATTAGTAATATTCTATTGCAAAGTAATAGTTAAATGCACTCCCAGATCATTTTTTTCTTAGAAGTTTAGATATTAGTGCAGGCAAATTGCTTGTAAGTACTTATAAAAGTAACTGTAAGATGTCAACTCAGTATATTAAGTTTAAAAATATTTTGATATAAAGGTATAGAATTTTAATAAAGAGTATTGGCAAGACTGCCAAAGTCAAAAAAAAATTTTTTATTTATATAGGTTTACTGTAATACTGACAATAAACCTATATACATAAGTGTATATATAATATAATAAAAATAAATGAGTATTATATAATAATTAAAGCAAAAGCAAAAGAAATTACTAGTTAAAAATAAGTTTATAAAATTGTTTATGTTTTGAAAGTACATGATATACATAAAATAATAATAAATATGTGTAAAATGTATAAAAAATAAATAAAATTTACAAAAATCAAATGTAAAATACAAAACCAAAAAGTTAATAATTGATATAAAAAATGAATATATATTTTATTTTATAAACAAAGCAGTTAAAATAAATATAAAATTAACAAAAATAAATAAATTTGTAAAAATTAATTAAATTTAAACATGTATTAATTGTAAAATAAATGTTGTAATGCTATAAAGTGAATATTGTAATACTGTAAAATATATATAAATAGAAAAAAGTATATAAAATTTAAATAAATATTGTAAAAAAATAAAAAAACTTGAACAAGAAAAACATGATAAATATTTTGTCAAGATATTTACAGAATATATATTTTTTTAACTCAAGGTTCTAAAAAATGTAATGCTTATATAAAAAAATATAGATTGTATAATATTTAAGCCAAAATTAAAAGACTTAAAAATAAAAAGATTATATAAACTAGTTGAAACTCAAAAAAAAAAATTGCATCTCTTAAAAAAAGATTAGTTTATTACAATTTTTATAACTAATTTTAAACAAGTTAAGAACTTAATTAATTTTAATATCAAAAATTAATAGATTGTATTGGTTTACAGATTAGTCATAAAAATTAAAACACTTGTTTTAGAAATATTAATTTTGGTAAGAATTTTTTATTTAATCACTTGAGATTTTTTACAATAAAAAAAAAATACTTAACAAAAAATACTTGCAAAAATGACTTTTATAAAAAACATTTTAATAAAATAAAACTACATTTAAAAAAAACAAAAATATTTGAAGATGATAATTAGAATAACATTATACAAGATAATAAAAATTAGTTATCTGATTCAATTATTGATAAAGAAAACTTATTTTAAGCTTTCATATTAACAATTGAACAAAACAAATAATTTATTATAAAAATTAAAACTAGTGAATATATTGTATTTACAAGTTACAAAGAATTTAAAAAATATCTAATTAATAACAACTTAATTTATTTTTAAAGATTATTATGAAATCTTATATAAAAGATTAAATAATATCTTGTTATAGTTGAAGTTTTATATAAGGTCAACTTTTTATAAATAAAATAATGAATATTATTATTATACAAATAATATACTGAATTTGTTAGCAGATGTAAATAAGAAAAATGTTATATTAATTAATAAATATTTTTTAAAAGTTAATAAATACATTAAAAAATATAATATAAAGTATCTTTAGTCTTGAACAAATTTAAAGAATTATAATAAAAATATTTAGTATTAGTTTTTTATTTGTTGTATAAATTATTTTATTTATCTAAATAAATAAATAAAAAAATATTAATATAAAAATTCTCTTTACCAATATTTGCAATATTTGACATCTTAAAGATATAACTTCAATTCTAATATTAGTTTCTCACAAAATACAAGAGAATACTCTTAGTATATAACATATGAATTTAGAATATACTTTTATTTTGCTATAGCAGCATAATTTAAATTCACAAATAAAAAGTAAAATGAAATAT